AAAGCAGCCACCGACATGCTGGACGTGGTAGATGGACAGGCATCTTTTTTGCTCTCATATGTTGATACTCCCCCTGCAATTAGCGGTGCTGTCTTTACTTCTGTGTGCATTTCAGTGGAAACCAAAATATGCACAGGGCTAGACGATGGACCTGGAGCCCGCTGGAGCCACTTCTTGAAAGCCAAGACATTTAAAGATCTTCTTGCACCTCAAGCCACCCTTTTCCCCAACCTCAGCCCATTCTCAGGACTGCAGAACATAGCCACGGGCAAAACAGACTCCACGCGCGACTCGAATCTCGTTCTTATTGTATGCATTTGTCTCCACATAATCTTGCTAAATGCAGGTGTTTTCTACCCTCCAAGAACTGGCCCTTTCAAATGATTGTTCAGAGAAATATCTTCCTTGAAAAGAGATGGGCAGTATGTTTTTAAGGAATTCTGTAATGGGGCTAGATCATCATCTGGGGACAAAAGTCAGTAAGATGATGGTGAGAGTGTTTTGCTCATGGTCACTGTGGGAACTGAGATAACTGGTGTGCTTAATTTCTTTCTCGTGGACATGGTGGTGATTATATGTGTTGTGCTATGAAACAAGTTAGCACGTGGCAAAATATGTGTAAGGTGATGGAGGTGGTGGGACATGCACTGCATTGAAACCTTGTACCCCTTGTGCCGTGTTAATTGTGTTAGCTAGAATAACAGTATCATGCACTACCTATGGGAGCCATACCCACCTGTATGACTATGCCAGGTCACAATATACCAGTTATTAAAATACTTCCCTCCTGGTAGGTAAATGGCACTTTCAGGAGACCAACATACCCTGCAAAGACCCCCACCTCCTGCAGCATGCAGTGGTCGATATTTTGAATACCACGCTTTGAGCTAGTTTAGCAGGCATTGTTTACCCCCATTTTAAAGATGGGAAAACTGAGCCTCAGAAAGGTTATATGAGGATGTGTCCCAGGTCATCTACTGGGTTAATATTAGAATTGGGACCATAAAATTCGTGGATTCCAAACCAGCCTCTTCATTTTATGGATGAGGAGACTCAGAGGGTTTGGGAGTGTGCCCAAGGCCACGTGGCTGGCTGGCGAAGGTCCTGTCTCAGAGCACGCGGAACCTTCCAGAAGAGAGGACTGCCATTAGATGAACAGTGAACAGAACTGGGAACTCCCTAGCCATTCCTGTTGTGTTGGGGCACTCAGAGCTGTTGAAATTGTTGGGCTCTGAAGCTTCGAAGGGGTGGATAGGCTGGACCATGAGAATTGATGGGTGTTTATGGAAAAGCACACAGAGGCGGGAGCAGGGGAGACGGATCCTTGGGAAACGAGGTAGGAAAAGGGAGTAGCTGAGGGACCAGGTGCAGACTGAGCCAATGGGGAAGGACGAGGAAAGAACAAACGTTTTTTGAGCACTTGCTCCCTCTGTGCCAGACGTGTTATACATGGTAGTTCATGGACTTCCCCCAGATGACCCTGTAGCGGATGAGGTTTTAATCCCCGTTCGTAGTGAAGCCGAGCAACGTTTAGAGTCCTTTCAAGGCTCAAATTAGCAGGAGGAAGATGGACTTGCACTTATACGTATGGGATTCCCAAACCAGGTTCTTTCTAGTTAAGAAAGCGCAAAGGTGAGGACCACGGCCGAAGTGCTGGGAAACAGGGCCTCAGAGTCATGGAGAAACATGGAAGTCGCTCTGAAATTTCCTGCAAGCATCAGACTCAGAGGTGGTTTTGAACCTGGGATCTCAGCATGAGGCTGGGCAGGGTCTGGAGAGATGGGGTAAGAGGAGGGGGCAGCACGGTGGCAATGGTCCCTTTATGCCTTGTTGTCTAGGGAAAAATTGCCATTTTACATTTCAATTAGGAGGGACACTGGGGTTAGTCAGCAGCACCACCAGAGGAAAATGGGCCCAGCCCAGCCCTGGGCCTCTCCAGTTATTATTAATGAACTTAGTCTCAGAGTGGCCAACCTTTTTATATGCAAACTAGGCCATTATGGGGCCACTGGCAATCAGGACTCACTAGAGAACTCATAACAAGCCTCAGTGAGAATCTTACAGGGGGAAAGAGAGAGGCTTAGCTTCCATCCTGGACCAGAATCGGTTCAGCCCCTAGGCGAGGTTCCAGCTCAACCCAAAGGAGGGTTTCGAAGCCCCCTGGCCCCCAGCTCCTCTCTGGGAAATCCTGGCCCACCATCCCATCCTAAGGTGGTCCTACTGCCAGTAGGAACTTGCCTCTTTGATTAAGAGGAGGAAATATGGCAGGTTGGCGTGGGAGTTCTTCAGCTGCCAGCACATCTGTTGACACTGAACCAGTATTTTTCCTCTCTCTGGCTTGGTTTCTCCTTTGCAAGGTAGAAGGGCTCCTTGGGTTGGTTCAGAGGACTCTCAGACTCAGACACCCTCAGCGTACCATTCTTGAGCTGCCGTATTTTCCTGTGGGACTTGGGGATGAGAGATCCCAGCTCTTCTGCTCTCACTCGCAATGCAACCCTAGACGCAGCTCGTAGCAGGAGGCAGGGTCAGGCTGTGCATGCTTTAGGAGAGGGACAGCTGCCAGGTCCTCGGTGGGGGATGGAAG